CCAGAGGGGAATTTTTTTTTCCTTTTTGTCTTTTTTACTGACCGGTAACGGGATCGCAACCCTCGGTGTCGTGCCCGTACCGGGGACCGGCAACGGGATCGCAACCCTCGGTGTTGCGCCCGCCCCACGCTCAGCCAGTGAGTGGAACCGGTCTCCACATGGGATCCGAACCCTTGGCGGGAGCTTGCAAGCAGCTCACTCTCCAGTGCGCCACCAGGCGGGCCCAGAGGGGAATTTTTAAAAATTACCCCCTCCACAGACAGCTGGCTGGGGCGTTCTTACAGAAGGACTTGAGGGTGTCTCAGGAACCTGGAGCAGGAGGGAAGGGCCCCAATATTTGCATGATCATGAAATATGGTGCAGAAACTGTGTTTGAAGACAGGGTTCAGACGTGGGGGTAGGGGGACAGTCGTGTTCTTCCAAAGAAGTTGAAGTCAACTTGAAATGCTCTTAAGCAGTGACACATTGCTAAGCGAGGACATTTAAATAGTGCACACGTGTTCTTTCCACTGAATTAACAGAGGTCAGTGGGCATTTTGTGTGATTGAGGGCTTGAGAATGTGCAAGAGACCTGGCACATGGGGGTGGGGGGGTGACAGTGTGAGGCAGGATGCAGGCCAAGTGGTAAACGGTGACCGGTCAGCTGGTGGGAATGTCGCCAAGGAGCAGGGAGCAGAACGTGCCTCCGAGGTGGCAGCCCATATGAATGGTTGTGGCAGAGAGTTCAATTGGAGGACACCATGGTGGCCATGATTTTCCCAGTTCAACAGGAGACAAGGCTGAGGGCAGAGGGGTGGTGAATGGGGCTCTGGGGTCTTGAAGGAGTGTGACACTCACAGCGGTGGGGGGTGAGGGCCCTGAGCAGCTGCCCAGAGGGGATGACCCAATGGGGGCTCCATCCAGGTGGGCACTGCGTGGGAGCAGGGCAGAGTGGAACACCCAGGAGAAAATAGAACATGCCCCTCTCAGAGTCTCAGTGTCCCCTGTGCAGTGGAGCTCAGCTGCTCTGGGGCTGAGGCAGGGAGGATGAAGCCCACAGGGCGAGGTGCTGGTCCCCTTCTTCTCCAGCTCCTGCAGGCTGGGCCCAGGTCCCCAGCTGTGGACACCTGCAGGCATGGCTGTGAGCAGGAGTGGGCGGGGGCCCTTGTCTGAAGGAACTGGAGTGTGTGCCTCAGCCAGCCCCAGAGAGAGCCCTCAGGAGATGGTCCAGCCCAGGGTGAGGGGGAAATGGGACAGCAGCTGGCAGGAAGACACCAGCAGCTTATGGACTGTACCCAAAGGAGGTTCACATCCCCACGGAGCCAGGCTCCCTTGGGCTCCTCCCCAGGAGCTTCCATGCTGTGTGTGGGGTGGGGTGGGGTGTAAGCACAGGGAAGGAGGGTGGAAGAGGGGTCCCAGAGAGCCCAATGTGGACTCCACGGGCAGTGGGGAGTGGGCTTCAAGTCTGGTGGTGAAGGGGTCCAATGCCCTCAGACCACCCTTCCCAGCCAGGTGCTCTTCATCAGGTGAAGACAGAACCAGAGGCCTTAGGGCATCATGGCGTCCACAAACCCTAAGACCCCACATCCTGGCCGTCCCATCACCCCAACCCCTTAGCCCTCACAGAGGCCCTACCCTCCCTCGTCCTGTTCCACCCCCTCCCCCCCATGCCAGCTCCACGTGTGTCTGGGTCAACGGCGCCACCTGGTGGCACCTGGGCCATCGAGCAGCTCAGGTGGGAGCAGTGGGGATCACCCCGTGCAGCCCGAGGTGGGATGTTGGGGGAAGACAGTTTCCTCGTGTTCTTTTAAAGCCAAGCAGGGCCCCTTGAAGGCTTTGTGCACGTCCTGCACCCAGCCCCACTGAGAGCCCTCGCTGGCCCGTGGAGCCTGTGCTGCGTCCACGCCCGACTCCAGTGGCGGCTCCTCCCCGCAGGCGCAGCTCATCGCCCAGTCCATCGGGCAGGCCTTCAGCGTGGCCTACCAGGAGTTCCTGCGGGCCAACGGCATCAACCCCGAGGACCTGAGCCAGAAGGAGTACAGCGACATCATCAACACCCAGGAGATGTACAACGACGACCTTATCCACTTCTCCAACTCGGAGAACTGCAAGGAGGTGAGTGGGGGGCGCGTCCTGTGGCACCAAGCTCGCTGCCTCCTCATCCCACTCACAGCTGCCTGGATGCACCGCCGGCTCCTGCCTTGGGCTGAGCACTTGTGTGTGAAATGAGGTGTTTGTAACAAAGAAGCCAATTACAATCAGTCTTAATGACCTTGAAAATGTGCCTTTTAATGCTGTGGTTATCATCAACAGATGCTTGGCACCCAGGAGATATTTCTGAAAAGCATGCAGGAGGTATCTTAAAAACAGGGAACTTGGGTGCTCTACCCCGGGGGAATTTGAGGCTGCCAGGGCTAGAGGCCTTAGCAGGACCCAGTAGCTTCCCTCAGAAGTCTTGGAAAGTTCTTCTATGACAGAGGAGCAAAGACCCTGAGGATGGTCCATACCTAGACAGGGCTAGAGGCCTTAGCAGGACCCAGTAGCTTCCCTCAGAAGTCTTGGAAAGTTCTTCTACGACAGAGGAGCAAATACCCTGCGGATGGTCCATACCTAGACTGCTTGTTGAATGACTGAATGACCTGGCTGCTAGTTAAGTGAATGAACGAATGATTCTGGCTGCTTGTTGAATGACTGAATGACCTGGCTGCTAGTTAAGTGAATGAACGGATGATTCTGGCTGCTTGTTGAATGACTGAATGACCTGGCTCCTAGTTAAGTGAATGAATGAATGATTCTGGCTGCTTATTGAATGACTGAATGACCTGGCTCCTAGTTAAGTGAATGAATGAATGATTCTGGCTGCTTATTGAATGACTGAATGACCTGGCTCCTAGTTAAGTGAATGAATGAATGATTCTGGCTGCTTATTGAATGACTGAATGACCTGGCTCCTAGTTAAGTGAATGAATGAATGATTCTGGCTGCTTATTGAATGACTGAATGACCTGGCTCCTAGTTAAGTGAATGAATGAATGATTCTGGCTGCTTATTGAATGACTGAATGACCTGGCTCCTAGTTAAGTGAATGAATGAATGATTCTGGCTGCTTATTGAATGACTGAATGACCTGGCTCCTAGTTAAGTGAATGAATGAATGATTCTGGCTGCTTATTGAATGACTGAATGACCTGGCTCCTAGTTAAGTGAATGAATGAATGATTCTGGCTGCTTATTGAATGACTGAATGACCTGGCTCCTAGTTAAGTGAATGAATGAATGATTCTGGCTGCTTATTGAATGACTGAATGACCTGGCTCCTAGTTAAGTGAATGAATGAATGATTCTGGCTGCTTATTGAATGACTGAATGACCTGGCTGCTAGTTAAGTGAATGAACGAATGATTCTGGCTGCTTGTTGAATGACTGAATGATGAGTAATCCTAGCTTCTTGCTGAATGCATGAGGCAGTTTTCTGAGAGAGTGACCTCTGAGGTGAAGAAAAAATAGAAGGACGTTTCTAGACAAGAGCAGAGGCAGGGGGTAGGGTATGGGCACTGAAGTCAGGATATTGCTCTGGCCTCCGTGGGAGTGGCAGGGTGGGGAAAGCAGGAGCCGGGACACTGGAGCAGTGTTTGGGGCTGGGGGATTCAATGCTGGGTGTGGGAAGAGAAAGAGTCTGTACTCCCAGGTACCCAGGATTGCTGGGAGGGCCCAGGGAGGGTTTGGGAGGCAGAGTGGGGCAAGGCTAGGGGTGGGCAGGCAGGCCTCTCAGCCCTAGTCCTCTCCTGGCTGAGATGATCAGCCTTGGATCCCAGGGCAGGGCAGCACCCACCAGGCCAGTGTCAGGCCCGTCCTGCCCTGGGCACTCGGCAGAGGCCCGGCGCCCCGTCATAGGCCCCTCTCACACTGCTGTTCCCTTGCAGCTGCAGCTGGAGAAGCACAAGGGTGAGATCCTGGGTGTGGTGGTCGTGGAGTCGGGCTGGGGCTCCATCCTGCCCACGGTGATCCTGGCGAACATGATGAATGGGGGCCCAGCCGCCCGCTCGGGGAAGCTGAGCATCGGGGACCAGATAATGTCCATCAATGGCACCAGCCTGGTGGGGCTGCCCCTCGCCACCTGTCAGGGCATCATCAAGGTGGGCACACTAGGAGTCCCTGTCCCGTGGTCACCCCAACCCCACGTCAGTCTTCCCTCACAGTGTTATGATCCCCACCTGACCCACGAGGAAACCGAGGCCCAGAGAGACCAGTACTGGCCGGTGAAAGCGTCAAAATTTGAGCCCAACATTATACCACATCACTAAAATCAGAAGAGGATCCAGACTACCCCAGGAGTGGGGAGGGGAGGTTGAGTCAGGGTGACCAACTCATCCTGGTTTGCCTGGGACTTTCCCAGGTTAGCAGTGGAAGTCCCACTTCCAGGAAGCCCTCTCAGTCCTGGCACAGTGGGAGGGTTGGTCACCCGATCATCAGGTGCTCAGATGCAGGTTTCCATAAGTACAGGAGGCCGCTCTGACTGTCCGACCCATGAGCTTGCAGCTTTGGGAGGTGCTGAGCTGCCTGTCCCTGGAGGGGGTCAGACAGACAGGACACAAGCAGGTGGGGTTGGGAGCCTTCCCAGCCAGCCATCCCAGGAGCAGTATCCAGGCAGCAGGCTCTGCCTGTTGGTGGTGGCTCACGTGACCCGTCTGTGGTCTGGCCTGAGCCCTCTGAGGCTGCTTCAGACAGACAGGACACAAGCAGGTGGGGTTGGGAGCCTTCCCAGCCAGCCATCCCAGGAGCAGTCTCCAGGCAGCAGGCTCTGCCTGTTGGTGGTGGCTCACGTGACCCGTCTGTGGTCTGGCCTGAGCCCTTTGAGGCTGCTTCGGTCCTCACCGCTTTGGTCCTCACCGCTTTGTGCTCTTAGTGCTGGAGGAACCAGCTGGGTTGTTCAGCCCGAGGGATGAGGGGCACTCCTGAGGCAGGAGCATCCTGTGATCCGGCTCTCAGAGCTGGCCCAGCAGGACAGTGCACAGCCACAGAGACAGCATGGGAGAGGCCTCGACGGGCTGCCCGGATGGCTCAGTAGCCAGAGCCTCCCTCCCAGGCTGCAGCTCCCCGGGGCTCTGACAGACTCTGTGTGCATGGGGGGTCCCCGCATCTCCAGGCAGCTCCTAGCTGCATCCAGGCTCATGTCTGGTCAGAGGAGCGAGCTGAGGCTGCAGCCAGGTTGAGGCCTGGACCCCTCCCCCTGCCTCCTTACCCCCACCGGACTCCAGAACTGGGGCCTGGGGTGCCCAATGACAGTTCTCTCCAGGCCCGAGCCTTCAGCATCCTACCCACACACAGATTCGCTTGAGCCATTGCTCCCTGCCCTGCAGGAGAGTCCATCATTGGAGGGTGTTTGGTTATATGGAGGGTGTCCCCATGTCCTTCCAGATAGGAAGTTATCCTGCATTCAGTATGGTGACAGCCCCTCTTGTGAACCCCTGAGGGTGACCCTGGTGCTGTGCCCATTGGTTCTGTATAGCGGCACATGGAACCTGGCTTCTGGTTCTCAGAGTGGCTAGTTTATGCTCAAGTCAGAGGATGCACCAGAGCACAGTGGGCCACGGCACATGCTGCCATCCTGGGTCCCCCACAACCCTCACAAGGGGCGAGGTGATGCTTGTACTCCCTGAACAGGGGGACACCAAGGCCCAGAGGTGACTGCCCACCTCTCCCAGAGCATGCTCCCCCTGCCAGCCTGCAAGGGTGTGCGTGCAGATGACTCCAAGGCCCAGCCTATGACTCCTGCCCCCATGCTCTTCAGGGCCTGAAGAACCAGACGCAAGTGAAGCTCAACATTGTCAGCTGTCCCCCGGTCACCACTGTTCTTATCAAGCGGCCAGACCTCAAGTACCAGCTGGGCTTCAGCGTGCAGAATGGAATCGTGAGTCCACTGTCCCCACCTGGGGCTGGGGATGGCCACTCCTCTCTGATGGAGCAGGCAGTGCCCAGCATCCTGTCAGGACCTGGCCATCAAGCACAGCTGCCAGGAGCCAGGCCACACGGGCAGGAGCTTTCAGGCAGAAAGGGAGGGCCAGGATGTGGCTATGGAGTGGGTCGCTTGAGCCCTGCCTCAGTACCCTTGTCCCGGCCGTGAAGGGGAGGTGGCAGGCTTTGCCAGTCCCTGCAGCTGGGACACACAGAACTAGTCATGGTGTCAGACTTGCTGCTGAACAACCAGCTGTTCACTCATTCGTTCATCCGTCTACTCATTCTTTCACGTGCTCTCAGCCATTCAGCAGACACTGTGAAGTTCTGCCCTGGGCTGGGCTCTGTGCCAGGCATTAGGAAGCGGAAGGCCTGCCTGGAGGAGGTGACGCTGGGCTTGAGTGAATGTTGGTTTGCCAAAAATGTCTGCCTGTTCCCCAAGCCAAAGTTCTTCAGTCCAGAGCTCCCACCTTCTCTTTGAGCTGTGCTTGGCTGGCATGGGTTCTCTTTCCTTTGTTTATCCTCCTGCAAATGTCCCAGAGAACAGAGATGTGGCCACTAAATGGAGTACAAAAGAAAAGGGCCAGCAACACCAAATTGTTTAAACCAGCCCTGAGTATGGAAAGGCCAAGGAGGAGAGAGATGGTGGTGGGGGTGGCATGGTATTGAGGTGCAGGTGGGGGGCATGTGTGTGCTCACCCACAGGCAGGGGGAAGACAGTAGGAGAACATTCTGAAAAGACAGCTACAAATGAGACAAAAAGCTTCCTGTTGTCACCTGGTGAAGCAGTGTATACAGAGCCTGGGTAGAGGCACATGGCTTGGGCTCACAGCCCATCTCTCCCTTCTGTGTTAGGGCAAATTTGCTGCTATAACAAATATTCCCCAAATGTCAATATACTGAGAGTTTATTTCTCATTCATGCCACAGTCCAGCGTGGGACGGGGCTTTGCTCCACACAGCCACTCAGGGGCCCAGGCTCTTCTCCTGCTTGGGTTTTGGAGGTCCCTCTAGGTGTGTTGTCTGACTGGAAGCTGAAGGAGGACACAGACTGCCTAAAAGAACTTGCAAGGGTTTTCAGGGTCAGGTCCAGATATGGCTCTTGTCATTTCTGCCCCCATTCCTCTGGCCAGACAACTTGGTCACACATCCCACAAAACATGAGGGAGGCTGGGGAAGATGGTCCAGCTGGTGCCCAGGACAAAGAGGGACAGGGCCATCTAGCCAGTGTTGGCTACACTTTACTAGCTGTGTGACCCTTGGCTAGTTACTTAACCTCTCTGGGTCCCCTCAAAAGGGGGCTGTGAAGATTAACTTAGAAAATCTATAAAGTATACGAAGATATCCCAGGGGAAGGCCCACTGGTCCCAGACTCTGCCGAGGGGGATGGCCCGTTGGCTCCTGGACCCAGGCCCCAGTGCCCAAATGAGTCGTTTGTATCCCACTTGGGACTTCTGTCTGGGACAGTGCACCTGCCCTGCCCGGCTGCTCAGCACACACATGAGCTGGGCAGGAGCAGCCACCCCAGTGCATTTAGGGGCTCTGCAGAAAGCCAGCCGGGCCGATGCCTGGAGCAACTGTGAGCTGTGTGGATGGCATGGGCTGGGCCCTGTGATCAGGGCTGCGAGGGGGCTTCTGGTCTGCCCCCGACTTTGTGAAGTATCACCAGGTCTGTCTGTGTGCCTCCCACCCCGGCAGCCCCACGAGGAGCCCTGCAGTGCAGTGTCCCCAGGTCCATCTCTTCCTACTCAGCAGCCTTGTGACCACATAGCCTTTCCCTCCTGAGTGGCACTGTGAAGCCTGCTGTCCTCCTCCTGTACCTGCACCCAGCCCAGGGGCAAGTGGGCCTGGATTTGTGGTCTTTGCTATAAAATGCTGCTCAGTGATGGTCCCTGTCACACTGGGAGCCCTGCAGGAGGGGCCAGCTTTCCCTGCCTGCCCTGTGATGGCCTGGGAACTGCCCATTCATGGGGTCTGGGAGCACAGCCCTGCCCAGGACAGGCCTGATGTCCCCTCAGACTGCTCCCCTCCCCCAAACAACAGAGTGAAGCATGGGGACTGGTGAGGAAGTGGGGGCACAGAGAGGCTTAGGAACTTGCCCCCGGTCACACAGCCTGTGAGGCCATGCGGGACAGTGGCAGGAAAGTAGAAGAGGCGAGGAAGGGGGGGCTCTGGATTGTGTTTCATGGGGGCTGGATTAAGGCAATTCGGGAAGGAAGGGGAAGCCCTGCAAAGTCCAGGCACAGGGCCATGAGCCTGCCTTCTCAGAGACCAGGAGAGCTGGAGGGAGAGCGGGGGACAGGGAGGGTGACAGTGACGAAGGCTCTCCCTTAGCTGCCTTTAGGAGAAGGAGCAGAGGGCATCTGAAGCAGCCTCCCCACAGATGGGGGACGGATGGGTGTGAGTGGTCAGGGGGCTGAGGGCACCGAGGCAGGAGGGGCTTCTCGGAAGATTTGTGGGGTGCAGAGTCCAGGGTAGCAGCAGATCTTGGCCCTGTGGGGCCTGGAGCTGGGGGGAAATAATGCACACTTCTAAAGCCAGACTCCCTAGGGCTGTCCTCCCTGGTCATGATGCACAAGAGAGGGGTCCTGACTGGCCCACCCAGCCCTGCCAGAGGGGCCTGACCTGGTTCCCTGTGCTGCCCCGCTGGCCCCCAGCCTGAAGTTCTTGCTCCAGCCAGCCTGGGACAGCCAAAGGGCTACTTGCATCCTCGGTGCAGGCCGGACAGTGGCTGGGAAGTCCTCTCAGTCTCCACAGTGCTTGACCACGTGGTGACCATGGGCGGGATGGTGGGGACACCTGGCCAGGAAAAGGCATTTGTCAGCTCCTCTGCAGACCCACTGCGGTTTTTTGCCTGAATTACTACAGAAACATTTCCTGTGGCAGGTGGCAGGGTTTAATGTGCAGAGTGAGCAGTTAGATGAAACATGTCCCACAATTGGGGTGGTCTCTGTAAATCTGGGTGCTGGACAGGGAGGGGCTCTCCACACAGTTGTGTGTGTGCTGTCTCTGCATGTGTGTGTCTTTGCAGGCGCATGCCTGTGCCTGTGTGTGTGTTTGGATGGGTGTGTCTGTGCCTTGTCGCAGACCTTAGCACAGCCTGTGCTGTCTCCAGAACAAGGGGCCTGATGCGGCTGAGCAGCTGTGTTATGTTGTGGAACCCACATCTCCCCACTCCCCTTTGCTTTTAGCCTTGACTCTCCTAGGACATCTATTTTTCTTTTCTTTTTTTTTTTTTGTTTTGTAATAACTGTGGTAAAATACATGCAACATAAAATTTACTGCCTTAGCCATTTTTTTTTTCCTTTTTGTCTTTTTTCGTGTCCGGCAACGGATCACAACCCTCAGTGTCGCGCCCGTA